TTATCTGTTCTAGTCGAGTTTATCATTTAAAAATATTGATTTTCAGCACATTTGTATGTCCCACCGAAATTATTGCATTTTCGGATCGCATCGAAGAATTTCGAAAAATCAAGGCAGACGTTGTGGCGGTCAGTGTCGATTCCCACTTTACGCATTTGGCATGGATCAACACACCCCGAAAAGAAGGAGGTCTTGGATATGTAAAGATACCATTACTTTCCGACTTGACGCATAAGATCAGCAGGGACTACGGCGTTTATCTAGAAGATTTGGGCCATACCCTCCGTGGTCTCTTTATCATCGACCACCGCGGTATTTTGCGACAAATAACAATGAACGATTTGCCCGTTGGACGTTCGGTAGATGAAACAATTCGGCTGGTGCAAGCTTTCCAATATACCGATACTCACGGAGAAGTGTGCCCTGCTGGATGGAAGCCTGGCGCGGATACGGTAAATTAATGCAAAAATTATTTTGCATTATAAACTAGTTACAATACTTTTATTTGCAGATCGTCCCTGACCCAAAGGAGAAGTCAAAGTATTTTCAGAAGAATAACTAAATTACATAAAAGTATCATCGATTCTACACTTTTTTCATATATTTCTATATCAAAGGATTGATTTTTTTATTTTCTCCATTTTACATACATATTTACGAAGGTCCTCATAGAATCGGGACGTCATTGGACATAATAAACAAAAATTGTGCAGTACAACATTTTATTTTCGACGTTTTGTACTACTACTGCTGCCTCCACTTCTACTGCCCTCCCCTCTTTTTCGTTTATTTAATGGATTTCGAGGATCGTATGCATCATACCAATCATCACCTTTGGTAGATGCGTCTTTAGCTAATATAGGCGCGGCTTCGTCAAACTTCAATGTGTGCGCCAACCAATCGTCTCCTTGAATTTCTTTCTCTACAATGACGTCGTCAACGAGCTCTTTGCTCTCATTCGATTCGGCTTGTTTTTGTTTTAGCGCATCTAATTTATTGCGAAATTTCGAAAGTAAGCTTAAAGTAAAGTCTTCCCGGCTAGCACCCTTCTTTGGAATCTTTGATTTTAGACTGCTATATTTCTCCTTTTCCTCGATAAAATTCTGTATAAATTCATTGTCTTTCGCGTTAGCATGCAATTCAACATTGCCGCTTTTCTCAGGCTTTTTCTCATCAATTTTTTCACGTTCCCTCTTTTCTGTTTGATATTGCTTTTTAAGGTTGAGAATCTCTTTGCGAATTTCATCCCTAAATAAGAAGATGAAAAATTAAAACAAATCCATCGAATTTCTATTTGTGTGTACTTCTTCTTCTGGTTTTTTATTTTCTGTTCCTGCTCTTGGGTCATTAGCACGTCTTCATCAGAGTCGGAGATTTCGGTTTTTATTTGTACGGTTTCTGTTTTTGGCGCTTTTTTTGATGTACTGGCTGTTGGTTGTAGCTTCTCTTTTATGCGTTTCTTACGTTCCTCCACATCTTCATCACCGAGTGGCTCTTTTTTGATACGCGTTAATCGGCGTTCTTCTTCTAAAGCTTCTTCATCATCAGAACTTACACTAGCTGTGTTTTCGATTCGCAATGCATCTTTACTCAGTTTGGGATCGTCAACAACGTCATGCATCGATTTAGCCTTCCCAGCATTTTTCTGCACAAATTGATTCGTTTCCTCTTCATCCTCCTCAGCCTCCACGCCAAAAGAGAGCAGTCCAAAATTCCTACAGAAAAAGCCGAACAAAACATGTATTTGTATACTTCAATATGTAATTGTTGACTACTTAAGTAAATCGAAAATTGCCTTATGGCTGGGCCTCTTTTAACATACTTAACACCCTTTTCGCGCTTTTTGTTTTTCTCTTTTTTATTCTCTTTTGCCACCTTGCGCGGAACTATATCATCAAAAGGATTGTTCAATATTTCGGTACGCAAAATTTTTTGGGGATACATAGGCCGCTCATTGTGATCGACTAAGCCGTCTTCCAATTTCAACATATTGTAGACAGTGTCTCCGGTCACTTTGCCGAAAAGCGTGTTTTTATTTTGCAGTTCTGGTGTAGCGGCCATGGTAAAGAAAAACTGTGAGCCATTGTCATCTTTATCTGCGTTCGCCATGCCAACCAGGCCGCGTCGAGCATAACGTAAGCGAGAATGAAATTCATCCTTAAATGGATGCCCGTAGATGGATTCTCCGCCACTGCCGTCGCCGCTGGGATCCCCGCCTTGAACAATAAAGCCCTTGACGACACGGTGAAATATTGTTCCATTGTAATAGCCTTCCATGCATAGCTGTATGAAATTGCGGCATGCTTTGGGACATTCTCGCGACCAAAGCTCTATATCTATATCACCCACTGTAGTCTTCAGAAGTACCTGCAAGGTCCGTTTGTCGTACACTACTTATGTTGACACTAGAGGAGTTCACTTACCTTTCCCGAAGTGGGCGGCTCTTGTATGTAAATGTTACTCATGGATTCTTTAGTTCACCTACAGATTAGTTAAAAATTTGTGTAGTCTTTTGTAAAACTGTATAAAATATTTATAAACAGCGCCAGACTGAAATGTTTACTGAATTGGCAGCTGCGAAGAACGTAAAAACGAATTCGCCTTGTAAATTACGTTCTGTGCCAGCTGATCTGTGATGCCAATATTTCGAAAAAATGTAGAGGCACGGGTCTGTCTTCGGAATTTCTCACCTGAGAAATTTCTTAAAAATCAAAACATTTTTCATAGCCATATAAATAACCGCACATTTTATGCAGTTTTTTTGTGAGCTAGTTTGTTTATCTTCATAAATAAATAAAAGTTCGAAGTAGATACTTGCAACAACTTGTAATTAAAGTTCATCGTTTTTTTAATACTATCAAAGCAACCCAGGGTTTGCCAACAGCTGTTTATAAACAAATTGCATATTACACATTAGCGTACTATTACTTGTTGCGGATTTGGCATAGTTTAATTATTGTAAAATTATAGGGTATCGTTTTTATACTAATTAACAATGACTGAGGAATCCAAAGAAGGCGAGGAGTTTACTTTGGAAGCAGATTCGGAACTGCGTTTTGAAATAGAGGACAAAGACGCCAAAGTTTACGTTGCGGTAACTTCGAATAAATCGCTTAAAAATGGCTTTAATGCATAGTTACTTTGTTTTTTTTTGCCATTCAGCTTGTATCTGGTTTCGCTGAAATGTTTGGCACAGAATTGGTAAAGAAGAAAAAATACGAGTTCCTCACTGGCGCCAAAGTGGCAATCTTTACTTACCACGGATGTGTGCTGAATGTAAATGGGAAAACTGACGTTAGCTATATTTCAAAAGAAACTCCAATGGTGCAGTACTTAAATTGTCATGCAGCCTTGGAGCAAATGCGCGTGGATGCCGAGGAGAAAGACGAACGAGGTCCAGTAGCAATGGTTGTGGGTCCCCTAGATGTGGGGAAGAGTACTTTGTCTCGTATATTTCTTAACTATGCGGTGAGGCTGGGGCGACGACCTCTTTATGCAGACATTGACGTTGGACAAGGTTCAATCTCGATTCCAGGCACTATAGCATCGATACTCATTGAACGACCTGCTAGCATCGAGGAAGGATTTTCTCAGACAGCGCCTCTAGTCTATCATTTTGGACATAAAAGTCCCGGTTCTAATAATGTTCTATACAAGGCGACAGTAGCAAAGATGGCAGAAGTAACATTGGAATCTATGAATGTTAATAAACGAAGTGAGTAAAAATAAATACCAATAGATAACATATAATAATTACATATGAAAATAATTTTATTTTTAGCAAAATACTCTGGTATGATTATTAATACATGCGGTTGGGTGAAAGCGGATGGGTATGCTCATTTGTTGCACACGGCACAAGCATTTGAAGTGAACGCAATATTTGTTCTCGACCAGGAGCGCTTGTACAATGAGCTTCTGCGGGATATGCCATCATTCGTTCGCGTCGTTTTGTTGCCAAAGAGTGGTGGTGTAGTGGAGCGAAGTAGGGATTTGCGTAACGAGCAGCGTGACTTGCGCATTAAAGAATACTTCTATGGAAATCGTACACCTTTCTACCCATTCTCATTCGAAGTAAAATTCCAAGATTTGAAATTGTACAAAATAGGCGCTCCGCCGTTGCCTGACTCATGCATGCCCATTGGAATGAAGGCGGAAGACAATAAAACCAAAGTTGTAGCAGTGACTCCCAGCCCTTCACTACTGCACCACCTCTTATCAATTAGCTTTGCCGAATCGACGGAGGAGGATATAATTGGAACTAATGTAGCTGGTTTTGTCTGCGTGTAAGTATTTAAATATATTTTCATCCAAAGGACTGAATATTTAGTCCACTAATAATGATGCTTTTATTGTAGCACCGACGTGGATATGGATAAACAAACTATAACCGTACTTTCCCCACAGCCTAGGCCGCTACCAAACACGGTGATGCTGTTCTCTGAACTACAATTCATGGATATTGTTTGAGAATGCCAAAAGTTTAGAGACTCGCCGTTTTCTAAACAAAATAAAAAGTATATTTTAAGAAAAATAAAATAATTTATTTTGTTTTTGTAACATTTTAGTGTACTACATAACGCGGTAGTTTTTCAGATGATTTGGAGAAATGTTTTTAAGAGAAGGTAAAATATTACTTTTATGTAGCGGGCGGCTTTTGTACCTTTGCCAGTTCCGCTTTGAACTTGGCTATAGTCTCACGTGCAATTTTCAATTTGTCTTTCAGCGAATTAATTTCATTTTTCACCTTTCCTTTGACTTCAATAATGTTTTCTAAGGTTCTTTCCTTCTTTGAGTCGACTAAAAGTAAATACAAATTTAAAGGTAAACAAATTATTTCATTTAGTAATAGCACTTACAATCTGTGTCGTGTGTATAGGAACCACTTGTCAGTGGCTGCACATTCAAGAGAAAATGTTGCATTAATTGGGTCGGCTCTTGGAATACGATCTCCTCATAAGACTCTGATACTAAATGTACATTTGCAGCACCTAATCTTCTATTGTTGTCCAAATGGGTGCTGGATAGTTCACCATCAACCACTGGACTTTGGAAAAGTTTCAATATGTGATAGCACGTCACAGGACGTTCTGTTGGGTCGTGGAAATATATTTTGATGACCACTTCAAATTCGCCCCAACCGGTCTCGGTAATTTCGTAGGGTGGTTTAGTAACAATTCGATTCGGGTTAGCATAGCTTTCGTGAAGTTTAAAATGTACCTTCTTCACATAGACGGACATGTCTTCATTGTGGAAAGGTTTTACGTACACTTTCCACTGATGTGTATGCCCATCCTCGTTCTTTTTACCAAAAGAGCGCGCAATGTTTCCGTAGACAATGGGCTTCACAATAACTAAACCTTTTACGCGACCGCCCGAATCCGGACCAAAATCTGTCGGTATATTAAGGCTGTTCATGTTGCGATATCCTTTTTACCAGTAAAGAAATAGTTTCCAGCGAAATTTATTTTATATTCACAAAAATGCTCGTATAAACAATCAGCTGGTGATTTTGTTGCTAAAATGAAGCACAAAATAAAAGTGATGATTGAGAAAATGAAGCACACAGCGCTGACGTTTAGTGCTACCAACCTGGAGAATGTTAACCCTCATTTTCTTCATTCTACAATTTTCGCAAAAATATGTTAAAAGAGTTGGCAAAGTATTCACATGCTCTTGATTTTAAATTCGATTCGGCCGACCAGCAAGGAGCAGCGATATTTTTCTGAAGCGGCGTGACGGTGGCTTTTTTTATTTAATACATTTCACTGGAAAATAAATCTTTGTATAAACAGTGATTTTTAAAAGAAATAAGAGGGCAATTTTTTCCGGAATACTTTCCTGGTGTGTAAAACACCTGAAAGTCATCAGTGCGCGAGTGTTGTAAGAGGCGCTGGTGTGCCTGGCTAGCGCTCCCTGTGGCAGTAGAAGCTCAAATTTACTGCCAACCAGCCAAAATTTGTGTAGGCTGGATTATTTGAGTGGACACCAAACAAGTGCAATTATTTCTACATGCATTTACAAGTGTACTAATTGTGTTTTTAACTCATTTAATCAAAATACTTAATTTATATAGTACAAAAGCAAAAATGAATGCTTCTGAATTGACGACTGCGCTGCTGTGCTGTGGAATTTTTTTCATCAGCTTAACCATACGGAGTGCGTCTGCAGGTAATTAAAATGTCTAAAATACAGATTATTAGAATAACTTAATTTATATTTTCAAAACATTTAAGGTATGTATTTTGCAATGAGAGCTCAGTTTTTGAAGTAAAAGAAGAAAGGTATTAGCATAAATTTTTTGGGTGTGACTCCACATATCGAGATCATAATGGCGATGTCTCATCATTCGTTGCTCTTGCTTTGGTTAATTGCAATTGATGGCTTTTTACGCTCATATTGCTTGTTGGTAACATTATTTCACGCTCATTTCAGCGTGATCTGTGGTGAGAGCGTCTCAAAGCCGAGCTTGGCTACTTCAGCTTGTGATAGCCACGACCCAGCTTACGAAGCGTGTAGCCAAAACAGAGAGCGTAAAAGCAACACCAAAATCTAAGTCAACAATAGAAAATAGGCATCGATTTGGGAGCCGTGTTAGCCGTTCTCAATTATTGTAGGTAGCCCCAGCCAGTTCCGATACCATTGGCTTATAGCGTCCATTCGCATGAAGTCAACGATCGTTGCATGATTAATTCTAATAGGTAGCTTAATAATTGACATACATATGTAAGTACGCATGTATTTATATACATATGTATGCACGAATGCACATATATAATCATATTTAGGTTTGAATTGCATTTGATATCACAGGGGCTATCTTACTGCATAAGTTTGTATTATATTCATCTTTTGCCAAGGACAAATCGACATGGCCGGCATTTTGTAACCTACTACAGCCGGAATTAGGTAATGCGCATGCGAAATATTTCGGTCAAAAGTTCATTAGCGTGTAAAACACGTGAGTTTTCTATAGCGGTGTGGACTATACATAAGTATATGTATGTATGTATGTATGTATGTATGTATGCGCAAATATGTTGAAAAACACACTGCTATTATTCCAGATATGCGCCCATAAAACTAAATTTGCCTGTAGCTATTAATGTTGTTGATTAAACAACTGATTTGAACTCCAAGACAACACCAATCTGTTATACATACATACATTTATTGACAAAACAAAGAATACATATATGCACATTCGCATACATGCATATTATTATTTTATTCTTAGCTGCAAATGTAATACAGACATGTCTGAATGCGAATCCGTATGCTTGAAATCTAGAAGCTGTTAATTAAATTCACTTTCCACTTTTTCCAAAAATATTGTAGGACACATATACATACAGTTGTGTTCATATTAATAGCAGTGCGTTCTCTGAGGTAGGAAAACATGACTTCACCCAAAATAAATTTAATAAAATTTTAAAGGGCTCTCGCTATTTAATTGCATGATTAATGCAAATATAATTAAAACAAAAAGTTGTATTATTCTTCGCAATTTCTTCCATTAAAACGAAAAAAATTCACAAGTAGTCAAAAAATTCTGTTCACAAAAATAGCAGTAAAAACGAAAGTCATATGGAATTTAACACGACCGCAAAATCTACATCTTTGTGTAAAGTAAAATAAAGATATAGCTAATATTTAGTCGTATAACCCTTATTCCGAATGACGGCGGCGCATCTACGCTGCATTGAGTCCACTAAACGTCTGCATCTTTCGACTGGGATATTTTCCCATGCAGAGCGCACAACTTCCCACAAAGCGTTCGCGTTGGTTGGATTTCTCTCGAANTAAGTATTTTTAGATCTAGATCTATTCGCGCTTTAATACCACATTCGAGAGTGCATTCCATTTGGTTTCGTTTGAGTACCACACACAAATTTTAAACACTTAATTATTTATTAGCCCACGACACACAAATATTTATCGTTGAAATACAAATGAGGCCAACTTCCGATACTACATAAAAAGAATAAAAAAGAAAAATTTGTAATTTTAACAAATTTTTTGTTGAATAAAATTTTAAGTTATATTATACGGCCGTTAAACGACAAAAGGCACTTACGACACCTTGTAAATCACTTAAATTCATATATGTATGTATGTTTTCAAAGCTAATTATATTGAATACATATTCTGCCTTATCCTGAGTTTCGCATATCTATGTTCAAAATTTGTAAACATTTTTAAGCGAAAATCACTGGCTTTACATTCGCTGTGTTTATCAAGGCATAAATATCATCAATTGTTGCACTTTTTCTTTGTGTGGGGCGCACTTAAGTAGTGGTGCTTAGCCAGGATAAGATTGCATGCAAGCAAAACAAATGAAATAGCATGCACAGACGATGGTGACGACGGAGGGCAAAATGTCTGAACTGCTCAAAAGGGGTGGCTTACTACGCTTATAGCACATTTGGTTGGTTGTAGGCTTGTTGGCGTTGATTATTAATTGTATGTACCTATGTATGTACATACATACCTCCACTGTATATACAAAATTATACGAATATAAGAATTTAGCATGAGCAGGATAATATCTGGCATTGTGTATTTATAGACGCTTTTGTGTTGTACATATAAAATTACATACCTACTCGCATATGTAATTATGTAAGTACAAAATACCCAACTGTAGAGCGTAAATCAAGTGGCACATTGCGCCAAGGAAGATTCCTTTTTGTATTGCGAAAATAATTTTGAGTGACGTTATTGTTTACTTCTGCATGGACGTATGAAATGTTTACTTGTAGGTAAGCACTGACTTGTGCATTAATTGTAAGGGGAGGTGACTTGGTTAGGTGTAGCTGCATATTTTCAACAGAACTCGACATTTATAAACAAAAGAGCTGCAGATATACATATGAGTATGAGTCCGAAAGTGCCCGAAAGCTCCCGAAAGTTTGTCTTGAACTTCGCAGCAATTTTCATTACTTTTTTGAAATATGAGAAAGAGTTTTTTTTGCACAAAACTAATTAATGAATTGCTTACCACGGCTGGACAAGTGCCAAAAAGGAAAAAAATCACAGCGCTTAAGTAGGTCATTGTAGACATGAAAATAAACAATTATATTTATATAAGAAAAACTACGCGGTCTTCACAAACAAGCATAAGCATGCTATTTGTAATATATGTATGTACATATTTTGATATTATTTTCTACTTTCAGATTCTTATAGTGACTACTTCTCTGATTATGATTGCAATCAGCCACTTATGGAGCATGCCGTCCTGACGGCCACTTCATCATTGAACGATCGTGGACCCGAGAAGGCACGCCTTAACGGTAAGTGTTGATGAAAAATCGCATGCTGCTTTTCGAAATATTTATTTCTACCACTTAGTACACATTTATCAGATATCTCACCAGTTGTTGTGTCGATAAATAAATTCACGCAGAATCTTTAAAAAATTCCAATTATTTTGTGTATAAAATGTGTAGTGTTGTACATACATATACATATAAGCAATGTATTTTTATGTATATGTATTTACAGTATAATCTGCTTATAAAGGACTTTAGGAGATAGAAACTTANTACATATAAGCAATGTATTTTTATGTATATGTATTTACAGTATAATCTGCCTATAAAGGACTTTAGGAGATAGAAACTTATAGTATAATAAAATATCTAACAATAGGCCGTTTTTTTTTACCCGTGTATGTATCTGCGCTTAAAATTTGTATGGTATGAATAAATAGATAAATAAATAAATAAATAAATGCGTAGTAAAAAAAACACGCCCTATATTCAGCTGAATCAAACTTAAACAATCATCTGATTTTGAGGGCAAACATCTCCCCTGAAAAAACTTCTCAGGGCAGAGAATGTGCCTTATTTGCCTTATAAGAGTGTAGTGACATTTTAAGAAACGAACACAACATTTTCTCAAATATTTGGACAGATATTACAAAATCTTTAAGAATCCTCTGAAATAACGACAATTCAAAGTATAATATATATGTACATATGTAGCCACATATCGATAGTCTTCTGCAATATCGACACAATTTCAAAATCATAAAATAAATCCCTTACTAATGTTAAGTTGCTCATGTTTCTAAGTAGAAAGGATAAAGGCTCTGTTATGCATACTTGGCATTGCATGCACTGCTATACCATTTTTACGTAGAAATCAAAAACCAACAGACTTTTACGTATGTAATACTGTGTGTTGGCTAACCGCTTACGCGCGAAGTTCATTTAACAGATTCCTGATGTGACAACTTTTAAGCAATGCCAAGTGTGCATAACGGAGCCTTAAGACATGGATTAGAGACATGAGAGAGTTTTTATTTTTTGAATTCTAGGTTTATATATAATGATTTTACAGTACCATAACATTGAACAATAAGTCGTAAATTTGCCTAAGTTTATTGAAGAGTTTTTGTGTGAAAGACAAATAATTCATTTGTGTTTTATTTTGTGAATGGAACATACATTTTTTATATTATTTTTTCTTTTGGCTAGTGATGGTTATTTCGAAAAAAAAACACACTCATATGTATGTATGTAGATGTGTACTTTGTTTTGAGTGTGCGAATTGCCATGCTGAGAAGAGATCTATTCTTTAACTTGATTTTGCTCAATGATTTGTTTAGTAATATGTATTTTTCGATTAACATATGTATGTATCTACGTATTAGTACATGGTGATTTCACCATGGTATTAGTAAACGTTTTATTACATAATGGCTTCGGTATACGAAGTTTAAAACTTAAAATTTTTTAATTTTAATTTTACTTTTGTGCGTAGGTATGTATCGGAGCTTATTTTATGGAATATTAAGTATTAATTAATACCCTAAATTTCCCAAGCAAGAGCAAACTGCACCAATCGTTAATATTTTTCGACTGCAACCTAAAATATTTAGCATTTATTTTTTATAGTGTATTTTCTCCCTTTGACGTTATGTTTACATTTATTTGCTTTTCAACAGTTGGTAGCGCTGCAGTTGGTCTCCTCTCTCTTTTTATAAACCGCTCTTCTTATTTTGTTTTGAACTTGTTTCAACACTTTGACAGTTCTGATTGGAATGAAGCTTTACAATGTTACTATTTTTCTTCTGAATAAATAAAAATAAACAAATTGTTACCAATTAAAAGTTGGTTTCCAATTATCACTGCAATGGCTCAGCACAAATGTACGCGCTGGGCCGTCGATTTGGCTAGCTGGTCACCAACACTACCGCAGTTAGCGCAGGCGGTCGCTGTCATCCAAGCTGAGGAACGTGACCGGCTGCAGAAGTTCTTTTACATTGATGATTTTCTTTCATCACTGGTGGGGCGTTTGTTGATGCGAAAATACGTCAGTGTCCAAAGTGGCATGGATTATAAAGAAGTGCAATTTGCACGCGATGTGCGTGGAAAACCTTATTGGACACAAGCCGCAAACGAATGCCCCAATCAAATGAGCTTCAATGTATCGCATCAGGGAAATTTTGTGTTGTTTGCGGGCGTTTCGATGGACACCAAACTGAAAGTAGCTGAACCTACATTTGGCGTTGGTGTTGATGTGATGAAAATTGAATATAGCGGAGGGAAGTCTCTTTCGGAATTCTTTCGTATAATGCAGCGCAAATTCTCGGACAGCGAATGGCGTTACATACGACGCCCACACCACAATGAGTTCGATCAAGTGCAAGCATTTATGCGTCATTGGTGTTTAAAGGAGGCTTATGTCAAAGAACTTGGCGTTGGCATAACAATTGATTTACAAAAAATTAGCTTCAAAGTGGATACTTCGCGAGAACTCCGTGTTGCGGAATCGCCGTTGACAGGCACAACTTTGCGTTGTAATGACATGCTTATGCATGACTGGCACTTTGAGGAACACTTGCTGCATCCAAAGTATTGTGCGGCTATCGCATTTAGAAATTGCAAGCCAGAGGAGGGGAAATTCGAGCTACTGAAAATGGATGAACTCTTGGTTGAGACGGAAAGCGCAACAAGCATCGAGGTAGTGCAGTACTGTAGGGAGGCATTAAGAAAAGAACGAAGAAAAAGCTGAGGAGTTACATACGATTTGAGGCGAATTAATTTTAAGCCGATTTGGGAGGACAAATTTAAAAATATGTATAATTTTAGTATAAAATGTATGTATATTTAATGTTTTTATACTGCTATTGCATCTTATGTTGATAATATTCAAGCAAAATAATTTATTGCTTAACCTGGAGAAACCCCCTTTAACACAAAAAAAACGAAACTATTTTGTTTGTTTAACTTGATCGCATTCATTTCGATTTGTTTTTATAACATATTGTTCCCATTATGGTTCGCATTGTATAAAGTTTGAATGATTTTTTTCGTTCGTTCATTACACAAAAATATGTATGTATGTTGGCGCTGCGCTCAAATTCTAACTCCTCCGCAACAACCCGCTTTTAGCGGCGCTATTTATCAATGCGCTAGCAATAAAAATATTGCGCAAACCGAAGCATTGCGGCAAAATTGTTATGCGAACAATACATATGTGCGTATGTATGTACATATGTATGCTCGTTTGTCATTTGTGCCCGACACATGTAGCAATGGGGTTTAGCTCCCAGTGGGAATTAGGAGCACGTAATAATACCTTATTAGCAACTTACTCTTCACCTGGCAGTCATTACCATTTCCCTGCCGAACGTCCCTTACTTTTACAAAGGCATGGCCGCCTTATGTAAGTAGGAATTTAGAATGTACATTTGGTATCAGACATACTTCTGAGCCGCTTTACAAAGTAAGTTATGTGTAATGCAGAGCAGTCGCTCGGAGTAGTTCGGTGCTTGGAAATAACTTCGGCTGCACGTTATTTTGCAACTGACAACGTAATGTGTCTTCGGAGGTGTTCATTTTGCCCTTTACTAGTAGATGACATTGGCCATGATGACAATTTTGGTACTAAAAACTGAAAGAAACCATGGCTTACCTCGCAAGGTGCTTACCTATTTTCCCAGTGGGCTGTTTTGTTATTTTTATTTACATATACATACATATGTATGTGAATAAAATCTAAGATAGACATGACCTGGTAGCTAAAGAATAAAACTAGGTGATGCTAATATTTTTTATCTTCACCAATAAAAAAGAAAACTTGAATTTACGGCGGAAAACATTTTAAGACCTTTCGCGAATAATTTATTTGGCAGTCGTTTATTCATTAATAATTCAACTATAAAAAATCTCTTTCCAATATGCTTAATGCAGCAGAAAATCCCTAAAATGAATTTGTAATGTAAAACCACAGGGGTTCAGAATATTTCAGTGGTCTTTCAAATTAAAAAGTTCGCACCTGCCGTGTTTTTTTTGCCGACAGCTCGAGTGCTTTGTGGTTGGCAAGCGGTTCGAATCACTTCCAATGATCCTTAAACGCTTCAAGCAAACTAAAATAGTATTTTCGTTTTTTTTTTTTTTTGCAAATAAACCCTTCAATTGTTATTTTGTTTTTCAATTGTTTTTATATCCGTTACAACCACAGTGTCCCGTGTTGTATGCGCCTTTTTCTTTCGCTTTCCACTCAAATAATTGCAGCATAGCCGTTGTCCTTGTCGGTTGCCTTCACCCTTTTTCGTATGAAATTCTATCCATCCATTCATTCACAAATGCATCACCCTAATCGCACTGCAGCATGCCCACTAAGTCCTTGTATTTGTCTCCCCTAGTTTGTGAGAAATTCACAGCATTTGAGTGCTCCTAACAAACAATGAAATGCCAGCAAGCATATTTGTTATGCCGCGTGACCATTTAGTTTTGGCACTCCCGTCATACCCAGAAAAGGCGAGATGCCGCTGTCAAAGGCGGACTCGCTCGCCCATTCATTTACTTATGTTTGTGTGTATGCTCACCGGATCTGTCGCCATAGTTCAATAGCAATTTCGTGTTCTTGTAAAGCGCATTGCAGCAATTTCAGTGATTTTATTTCCAAAAATTGCATTATCCCCTGTGCTGCCATAAGTTTGAGGGTAGTTCGCTCGTTTGGACGTCCCTTTTATGTTCAAAAAACATGCATACATACTTATGCATGTAGCACTTACCTACTATTTGTCTTGTTTTTGTTTTCATTTGTAACCGATTTTTGGCGATTTCGATAATCATTTCAATTGCGTTTAGACTTTCGCTTTATTGCTTAGTAGCAATTTAATTATTTTAAATGCTTTTCGACTCGTGTGCCTTGTTGATTTTTTTTGTTTAGTGTCAGCTATTCAATTTAAAATTTATTGCCTGCCCTACCATTCGGTCGATTTTGCTTTGACCTTTCCGCGTGTATAGTGTCTTTTCCTATTTGAGCCATCCATTAACTCCCTCCCCCAAAAATCTTGCATTTGGTCTATGAGCTGCATTTCATATTGGCTATGCTTGCACGCCTGCAATCCTCATTAGCTTTGATCCTTTTACTATTCTGGAACTCTTGTGCTTATAAATATGCAGTATGTAAGCGTGTCCCAGTTAATTTAACGTTTTAGGGTTCACGTGCTTCTATTTGTACTAAACAATTGCGAAAACGTTTCTATTAATCAGAGGGTGTTTCGCTTACAAATCAATCGATACACTGGTTTGTTCTGGGTAAACAAGAGCTGGTAACTAATTGTGTATGACTGAGCTGAGTTGAGGGCAGGATCAAATTTATGAATTTTATGAATCATATGTATGTAAGTGTGTATTCATTTAGCTATACATACATACACACATATCTAATTTACATCGTTCGGATCCAGGCTGTGATCGAGTCCAACCCCGGGACAAGAAACCTACTTCTGCATTCCCACGACAGCCGGTTCTACGTACCGGAATGACTCGGGTTTCACCCGACCAAGGGCTGTTGTTTCGGCGATCTAACCCCGTTTAGGTCGGCGAAGTATCTCAGAAGTTGTCCGTCCATAGGGCAACATTCACTACGCATTCTCCTACTCAGGGCTGGCATCGAGTCAAACCCTGGGCCAGAAATATACACCTGCTGTGTATGCCGGAGACGTTTACACCACAACTCCACCTCAGTCAAGTGTAATGCCTGCGAGGGGTGGAGTCACCTCAGGGTCTGCTCGGGACTACGGACACACAGACAGTGGACCACGTCGTACGTGGCCCCCTGTTGCTCAAATAGAGCAGCCTCCACGGCAACCCATAGTCCGCCCGTGCAGCCCCACACACTCACACAGCAACCACACACAGTCGCCACAACACAACAACATACC